TTTTCTTTATATTTTAAATCCAAGGAGCAAGAATTTCCTACTATTTTAAAGAGGTCTTGAGTAGTTCTCCGGGCTCTCCAGAGGTTTTTCAAAGTTTATCTTCTAGACGTCGGCTGCTACTTCACTCGTTTTCAGTTCAGTCCTTGTACCTGACCATTTTCATTTTTTTGGTTTGTTTAACCACTTAACACTGACCTTTAAATAATTCAAGCATTAAAAAAACATACTTAAAGGATGAGACCATTTAAAGTCAACACATAACAGAAAACAGCAGGAAACCAATTTTGAAATGTGTTTTTAGGAACCTTTTACTACCAGTCTATTTCAAACACATAATTTATTCCCATTTCTTTAGATGAGTCTATAAAATACACCAAAATAAAGTAAAAATGTATCTTTGCAAACAAAATGATGTCCAAAGAGCCAACAGCTGAAAACCTGGTATATCATGGCATGCTGTATGTCCTCAAAGAAAATTAAGGAAGTTGGACAATTGGAAGACAAAAGAAGTGGCAGGCATGAAAAACTTGTCTACCTTAGGTGAACAGTATCTGAAAGTCATGTCTTTGAGCGATAGGAAAAAAAATCCAGTAAAACTACTAAAAGAGGTCCCGAAAAGAGGTCAGGAGACAGGTACAAAAGTGAGCTGCTACAATAATCTGTAAAGCATAGTGGAGGCTCTGTCATGGTTTTGGCTGCGTTTCAGCCAGTGGTGTTGGGCATCTTGTCAGAATTGATGGAACTATGAACACAAAAAAGTACAGTCAGATTTTCATCCACCATGCAATACCATCTGGAAAGGCTCGAAATATATCAAATTGAGGGATGGCTCACAACTTTTGAATAGTTCTTAAGCTGCATACAATTGTAGCCACACTACAATTTTTTGCTCTACCTTCCCAATGCTGATTTTATTTCTCAAGTTTAATCATCAACTGAGCTCTGCTCCAACACTCAAACCTGCTCTGAATTCTTTCATTAAATGATGACTTTCAATAAACGTCCTTCGTTTTAATTCCCCCTGCATCAGTGATGAGTTTGCCTTTTGCATCAAGTCACAAATATCGGAAATGCTTCAAAAGCCTGTTTTGTTGTCTGGTTCCTGGGATCACATTCAAACAAGTGTAAACCTCAAACTTGTCCCCACCGCTAGACCTTGAAATTGAGTAATGTTTTCTTTTTGAGTGTTTTTTGTATATTGCCTTATAGGGCTACTGGCATGCTAAATTTCAACTGTTATTTGAATATTTAAAAAAAGCAAATTCCTTCAAAGTTACAAAGTCAACACAAAGAGGAGACATTGTCTCCCAAAGAAAACACTGCTGCTAAACTACCTCCAATCCCTTGTTTGCAGTCCAGGCTTTTCTTCTATGACTTATCAGTGTCACTATGTAACACATTTCCATAACGCTCACGTAGCGGCTAGTTTGGCACAGCCTCAAACAAAGAATAAGCAGCTACCTTGCACTCCGGCCTCTTTATTTGCTTGCCAGAGTCTGTAACTATAAAACGTCTCAGCTACAAATGTTCTGCTGTTGGCAGTCAGAGTGAACATAAGAGTCTTCGTGCACTCACAGCATCCAAGGAACTGAAGAATCAGTGCGTTACTTTCTCTGCAACAAAATGTCCAAATGCTGAACATTACCG